GAGCAAGCATTCACAGCATCATAGAATTGCTAAGGTTGGAAAGACCGCTAAGTTGAACCACCAACACATCCCCACTGTACCCACTCACCACATCCCTCAGTGCCACATCTACACGTGAGCACCTAGAATGGTGACGCCACCACCTCCCTGTTCTCACCGTGCCACTGTCCTCACTGCTCATTCTCAGAAATTTTTCCTAACACCCATCCTGAATTCCCTGATCTTCCTCCCTCAGCTGCAGAGTTGGTGCCCAATGAGCCTCCTGAGCCTCTCCCACTACCACGGGCCTCGTTGGCAACGGGACATGAAAGAGATAATCAGGAGCTTGTTTTGCTACAACTGCTATTTGGCAAAAGTGCAGAGCACCTGGTGGCTTTTATGTTATATTACTTACATAATAAGTAACAATGCTTTAAAAACGAAGCAGCTTAAGGAGGGTTTATTGCATATAATAAAGGATGTTTCTTTTTTTCTCTTACTGATTGATGCTTTACATGTAGGTGTGTCCAGAGATGAAGAGTGAGGTTAGCAGCAAGAGCAGTATTTTCACTGAGATATCCAAGCTTCACAAGCACGTTCTGTTCATGAATTTTCAGCAATGTGATTTGTAAAATTTGCCACCTTTAGAACAATCATAACGATAAATCCTAATCGTAACATAGCATTGGAAAGGAACAGAAGAGAGAATGTTTTGCCCAGAGCTGAGTTGTTAGGCCAGGATTCAGGTTCAGATGTGACAGCCTCACATCTCTGGAGTCCTCTTCCACCCACAGTAGAAAACGTACAATGTGTGTTACTTGGAAGAGGCACCACATTGGGTGTATTAAGATGTAGCAATTTGAATTTGTTTTCTTACCTTCCTCTGGATGAGAAATTCGCAGGTGTTAGACTTGAGGTGCTACTTTTTTGCATGATTAGTTGTTGTTTTCTTCCTGCTGCTGTGACAGAATTTAAAGTAAGTGTATTAATTATCAGATGGCTCCCCATAATATTCGTTTGCTTGGTTTTTAGTGACTGCATTTGAATAATTGAGTTGACTTTCTGCTGCTCCCAGTACATCGCCTCAAGTCTATTGTTGTGCCTACATCTTTCTTTTTCATTTAAAATCGAGTGCAGACATGACCTGAAGATCCAGTTTTGTAAGATGCTCGGAACCATGAAGGCACTATCGCTCTCCTACAGACCACACAAGAGAAAACCAGATGGTGGCCTGTGAAAGAAAAGCTGCTTTTTTTTTTTTTTTTTTTTTTTTTTTTTTCTTTTTCTTTTTATTCTTAAAGATGGAAAAATGAGATGGAGGTTTGCTATCTGTTTCATTTTCCTTGGAGTTCAGGAACACTCCTACTCCCCTGTGGCATTTTATATGACAGTGGGTTGTCTTACAGGATATGCTGTAATGAAAGATTCTGTGGCGGGGGCTGTGATGTGTATATTAACTGGGTTGATTTAGGTGCAGTGACAGGATTTTCTCCATTCTGCTGCGCTGATCCAGTCTGTAGGGCCCCAGATGTAACAGCAGCTTAGTCAATGGATCAGGGAGAAGAGAGATGGTAAAATCTATACGCATATTTTCCCATCTCCCTGCTACGGCAGTTTTCTGACAGTGTGTTGGTAGGCATTTGATTTGGTCTGACTTCAGGTGGTGCCAGCAGTGGGAATTCCACATCTCACATTCCTGCCACCAACTCGGAGGCTCTCTCAAAAGAGGATTCTGTTAAGTCTCCAAGTACCAGAGCCACTTTTAAAACCAGCTGCTATTTCAGAATAGACAAGGCCCTGCGGATCAGTACTTCTGCTATTGCTCCGCTCGGAGGAAGCTCAGCTTTTGTGGTTATAGGAAAGATCATGGGTCCAGAAGCACTGTGCAGTAACTCCCTTTTTATTATTTTATCTACAGGTTAGATACGAGTTGAAATATTTTGGCTTTTGTAAAAGTACACCTAAGCACAATGTTCCCTGAAAAGACAGCAAATGTTGATATAGTTGAAGCACGCTGAATTGCAAACATTAGGGAAAAAAAGGAATAAGAGTTACATAAACATGCAATGTGTTTGATTTGTTTCTAATCAAAACAAAACCACTTGTCTCTCTGACAGCAAATGGATGGAGAAAGAGATCTTATTCAAGTGGATAAGCTATGTGGCCAGCTTGCGGGGGCATTCGGAGACAGCTGGCAAGATAAGATGCTTCAGGAGGGATGCAGAACTCTGTGTGCAGTCTCTATGAGGGAATGCAGAATGGCAGCAGCTCAGGGAGTGAATATAAAGGCCATATAAGGGAAGTAAATGGACTGCTGTAGAGATGCCATTAGCAAAGCAAACACTGACTTGGGGACCTTGGCATATACCATGGAAGAGATAAATTGCATGAATAAATGCATACTTGTTTCCTTCTCCCTAGATTTACAAACTCAGATGTAACCTAGAAACTGTTTACATGTGTGAAACAGAAGTTTTCCTGTAGTCATTTTAACACCAAGCAATTTCTACTCCTGCCTAATCCCAGTGCACTTAATTTAGACACATCTATCGTTGTTTCATTGTAACCAAGGCCTTGGGCTAATGAAAGAACACCAAACTGGTTCTTTAAGCAATTCCAAATTAATGACAATACTTTCTCCTTCTCTCTCTTCATGCCAAGAGCACAGTTCCCATGATGGTGTCCTTTTTTTTTTTTTTTCCCAAAAAGGGAAGCAGGAGGAGAAACACCCGAGCCAGGCTCTGACTGGAGGCACAAGAGTGGTCAGCATGCAGATGCTCGCAGAAGTGGAGCTGAGCACTGGGGCATTTTGTGGTGGAGGCCTGGAAACATGCAGAGCTGGTGTGAGAGGAGGGTGCTAGGAAGGCATGCTGCAGAGCAGGCTCTGCTTCTCACCACTGGGACAGTCACCCACCCTATGGGCACAGCAGTGTTCATGTTCTGGCGTGGCTCACTTTCAGGATGAGTCTCCAGATCATCCTTTGCTCAGGCCCATTTTATTTTACCCAGCAGGGATGAGTGCACAGGGTAGATGCTATTGAAGACAAGGTTTTAGAAGGGCATCTAATTGGTCTTGAGTGTGAGAGACTTAGACTATAGCAAATCAAAAGAAAACCATGTGGAAACACAGGAATACCCATCAGGTCTTCAGCACCAACAGATTTGCTGAACAGATTAGGCAGGAGAGTAGAATAAGATGATCTTCAAGGTCCGTTCCAGCCCAAAGCATACTGTGGTTCTGTGATTGAGACAGGCTGATCAACTCTTTCAAAGGGTAGATAACAGCAGGACAAGGGGAAATGGTTTTAAGTTGAGGGAGGGAAGATTTAGGTTGGATGTCAGGGGAAAGTTTTTCACAGAGAGTGGTGAGGTGCTGGCACAGGCTGCCCAGAGAGGTTGTGGATGCCTCGTCCCTGGAGGTGTTCAAAGCCAGGTTGGATGGGACCCTGGGCAGCCTGGTCTAGTATTAATTGGGGAGGTTGGTGGCCCTGCATGTGGTGAGGAGTTGGAGCTTCGTGATCCTTGAGGTCCCTTCCAACCTGGGCCATTCTGTGATTCTGTAATCTCTGATACTTGCCAACACAGACACAGCCTTTGTGTGTGCAGCTGAGGGGCTGTGGTTGTTTTGGGATTATGCCTTTATTGCCTTCCTTGCAAAGCTCATCACTACACGCATCTTCTAGCACCAAAGCTGTATTTCTGTGATTTCACAGAATCACAGAACTGTACGGGTTGGAAGGGACCTCTGGAGACCATGGAGTCCAACCCTCTGCTAAAGCAGGCTCCCTACAGCATGCTGCATCCAATACAGAATCACAGAATATTTAACCTTCTTTTATTTGAATCACTTTTCCTTGGGGAATATGCTTAAAATGATAGGATGGAAAACTAGATTTTGCTAGATAACTCTCAATCCTTTTTTTTTTTTTTTTTTTTTTTTTGTCTATTGAGAAAATATACATTTCCACTACTGTTCTGATTTTAAGACTTCACGTTACAGGGCAAAAAGAGTCTTCCTTTTAAAAACAAAACAAAACAAAACAAAAAAACCACCCATCCAATCAAGTGGCTTTGTAATTTAATTTTGAACATGACTGTTGTTACTAGTAAATGGTGTAAACACAGACTGAGTGCAATAAACCTCGCTTCCATTTAGCATTAATAATATTAATGATCAGTACTTAAATCACACGCGATGTTCTTGGACTGTAAAAGAAACATCACCAAAGAGATTTTCCCTGTCTGGTGCCGACATAATTTAAACTCGGCATAAAATTGTCTTCTGTTGGATGGAATCTTTTGGCGCTGCAGGGCGGGGAGGAAGAAGCAGAAAGAGGAAATCTCTCTCTCAGCGGATACCATCCCTCCTCGCAACCCCTCCCCAAAACTTTCTCACTCCAGACCCCGGCCAAGACCTGGGGGCTCCCACCCTTCCGCCCGACCTCCCCCAGCCGCAGGAGCTGCTCGCTACTCCGCTCGCATTGCCCCTCGCTGTAGCGCAAACTGTCGGAAGCAAATCGCTGGCTCAGCAGCTCGCATGCACACACACAGTCACACGCACCGCTCACACGCACACCACCCGCTTAGCCCGTATTTTCCCATGTAAAGGCTGCAGCCTCCCCCCCCCCCCCCCCCCCTCGTTAGCCCTCCCTCCCCGCCGGCTTTTTCCCCCTCCCCTGCCCTCTCCCCCACTCTCTCCTTGCCGCCCCCGGCCTCGGGACGCCAGGACTCCCCCCGGGACCCCCAGCCCCGCCCCGGGACGCCTCGGGGAGGCTCCTCCCGGCCCCTCGCCCCCGGCCCCGGCCGCGGCGAGTCCCGCCCGGGGAGGCGGCGGCGGGGGAAGGGGGAGGAGAGGCGGCGGAGCGCGGTGCCTCCCGAGGAATCAGACGTGCGGAGAAGGGAGGGAAGGACGGGCCGGGGTGGTGTGGGGAGGGTCCCGGTGCCGGTCCCGCCCGCGTCGCCTCCGCTCCGGGACCGCGGCGAGAGTCGCTTGGGGCGGCCGCCACCCGCCGGCTCCGCAGCCGGGCCCCGCGCCCATGTGCTGCCGGCACCCGCGGCGGCAGCCCCAGCGCCCGGCGTGAGAGTAAGTATCCCGGCTCCCTGTGGCTTCCCCCGGCCTCCCGCGCCCCTCGAGCCCGGCTCTGCCCGGCTGCATCCCCGCCCCGCTCGCTCCCCGCACCGCCAGCCAGCAGCCGCATCCTTTTCCCGTTCCACCGAACTCTGCGGACCCCTTTCTGCTCCCGGCTCCCCGCTCTCCCCTTCCTGTCCCGCATCCCCTTCCCCTCCGAGGCCCCCATCCTCCTCGGATCTCCCCACTACTCCGCACTCTTTCCACCCCTTTCTCCCGTCCTCTTGCTCCCCTGCTCTCCCCTGTACCCCTTCCCGCCCCTCGCACTCCGCAGCCTTCCCCTAGCATCACCCCGGCGAGTTTCACTTCCCGGCCCCCGCTCTCCCTCGGGGAGCCCCGGAGCTCTCGGCCGCCCCCTCCTACCCCGGAGCGGAGGAGCGGGGTTTTGGGGCCGGAGGGGCGATCCCACGCCCCAGAGAGAGTGCCGGGCGTGGGCTGGCAGCGCCCGGGGTGCGGAGCGGAGCTGCTGCCCCGCGGGTTGGAAGGGTGCTGCCCCTGTATCCATCCCGATCTCGTCCGCTAGTTGAGGGAACCATTTCCCCCGAGTGCCGTGACCCACTTTGCTGGAGACGTTTGGTGGAACGCCAAGACGCGGGCGGGTCCTTCCCCGGGAGATGCCTGCGGAGGGATGGAGGCGGCCCGTGCCCCGCTCCAAGTTTCTGTCCCCGAGGTTAGGGCTCTGGCAGGTTGGAAAGCGTTCCTGCAGATGGGCTGTGTCTGCTAGAAGCTGAGCGTGTGGCTTCTCTGCATCTCGGGCCTTTCTGAGCTTTATGGAAGAGACTTTTTTTTTTTTTTTTTCTTCTCAGTGTTTTAAAAGTAAACAAAAGTTTTGTGTGGTGCACACACTTAATTTCACTTACAGGCACTGTCTCTGCGTTCCCTCCTGGTGCAAAGGGAGCTTTAATTTTATTGCCTGCACATTAATTGAGTGCACTGATTGCTGTCTAATCACACTTAGAAAAAAAAAAAAGCCCTTGTAAATGGCCATCGGAATTCATTTATAGGAACTGTGAGAGGTGATCATAAATTTACAGACACAGTTGGAGCAGCAATCCAGGATGGATTCAACAAGAAATATACACCAACCTTTGGGAAGCAGCTTTCCTGAAACAGGCAAACGCACCACAGAGCTGGGAGGCTGTGAGTTGTCCGGGAGGAGCAGGAGCTAAAGGTGCTGCGTTTGGGCTGGGAAGAGGCAAAGAGGTTTTGTGTTAATGAGGTTTACTGCTGCCACGGGGGTCTGGGATTGAAAAGCTGTAGGCAGTGTGAGCGGTTTGCACGGAAACTGTGAGGCCATGCCTAAAGCATGTTGCAGGAGGAGGGATGAATGAGACCTCGCCTTTTTCTCTATCAGCAGAGGGAAGGTGAAGACGTGCAGGGGTGAGAGGTGAGCAGGGAAGCTCTGGCAGGGCAGCACAGCCTTCATGCCCACGCTGCCCCCCCATAGTGATGCTAGTGGCTGCAGGAATGGGACAGAGATGTATGATGTCTTCGTGAGAAGTGCTGGAGGAAGAGAAGATGCTCTGGCAGATAAACTCTTCTAATGTCAGTGTTACTGAATTTGGCTTTTTCTCCTTTCTGTTATTTAATCAGGGACTTTTGTCTTCATGATGGGAGGAAACATCCCCCTGGCTTTTAGGATCCGAGCTTCTCTTGTTGTGAGGATTTGCCAAGGCTGAGAGACTCTGGATTATCCCTAACTTCTAAAATACAGAGGGGCTTTCTGTCTCTCCATTGTGAGGGGCTTGGTGCAGACGTGAAGATGGCTTCCAGCCTCACCTGCGCCGGTGTGGTCTGGGCTTTCCTCTCCTTCCTCTGTGCAGCGGCATCCTGTGTGGGCTTCTTCATGCCCTACTGGCTCTTGGGATCTCAACTGGAGAAGTCGGTTTCCTTTGGCACTTTCCGGAGGTGCTCCTACCCGGTGCGGGATGAGAGCCGCCAAACGACCATCATGGTGGAGCAGTGCGGCCGCTACGCCTCCTTCCAGGCCATCCCCAGCACCGAGTGGCGGATCTGCACGGTGGTGACGGGCCTGGGCTGCGGGCTGCTCCTCCTGGTGGCCCTGACTGCCCTCATGGGCTGCTGCGTGTCCGAGCTCATCTCCAGGACCGTGGGCAGGGTGGCAGGAGGCATCCAGTTCCTGGGAGGTAAGTGCTGCCTGCTTGTGCTGCGGTGTGGATCTTCACACTTAATTTGTATGGGTGTGGAGGCTTTGGGAAGAGGAAGGTATGAGGCAGACCACTTGGCTTGGCCACTTGACCACTGAGTGGCTGTCTGAGTGTTTGAATGTGGCTTGCTCACCTACGGTTGCTCTTGCACTGAGCCCCATGCCTGGTTGTTGGATGACCTTTGAGAACTACCTGAGAGGTTCAGCTCACATTTGAGCTAAAGACAGGGAGGGAATGTTTAACCCTGGTAGAGGAGGCGTGAGGAGGAGCCCTGCCAGGCTGCTGGCTCCATTCTGCCCGGTGGGGTTAGAGGAGGCTGCGGTCTAGACACTGCGTAGGAGAATCACCTCCCATTCTTTTTTTAGCCTGCGAATTGTATGGCTTTAGCCGTGGAGTGTTTGAAGGGTATGAGACAATAAGCAGGATACTCTGGCGTGTTTTTTATAGGGCTGTTTTACCAGTAAATCATCACTCTCCCCTGTCATCAGCAACACAAGGCTCGGTGGCACTCACTGTCACCTCTTCTCACTTGGTGTGCGCTTGCCTCCATTAGGGGATGAGTTTATCTGCCCAGGTGCATTTGGGCAGTCCTTCTGGGCCCATTTCCTGCCCTTCTCTCCCCAAATTGAGGTGCACCCAGATAGGACAGTGGGCTCCCATCCCACATGCAAGATGCAAACACAGCTGGGGTGCAGCTTAGGGGACACAGCCAAGGCCCTGTAAGGGACCTGTGCCAGGCCTTCAGCTGGGCGGTGTTAGCATGGCTCTCCACCGGCTGCCAGAAGCCCTGGCTCTGACTTTTGGAGCATTTTCTGCACTTTAGAACAAACTGACCCTGTCAATTCACCCTTCCCTCAGCGTTGCATTCCTGTGTTCAATCTGGCTGACAATTTGAAAACGCAGCAGCTGCTTGAGAGTTAACTCTGCTGGAAACTGCTGCTTTGAGAAGGCTGCTTCATTATAGAGCTCCGGTCAGGCAACCAGGGTGTGGAGAGGGTTTTCAATTCAGCAAAGCTCTGTGAGCCCACGTGGCCTGGCTAGTTTCACTGAGAGCCATCACAGGCTCTGCTTGGGCTTTAACCACCCCCTCTTTCCAATTGCTGCTCTGCTCATCTGGTTTTAATTTGTGTTTGGTGGTGCTGCATGCCTGGGTCTGGTTACAGCCACCATAGTGAAACATGGTGGGGTGGATGGACAGACAGACAAGGGGACATGGGAGGTGTTGGAGACCCTGCACCGGGATGTCAGCGTGGGCCATAGATGTGGGCTCTTCTCCCAGGTGTTCTCCCACTTAAGGAGAACCCTTCAGACCATGCCACGACCACTCATGTAACCACGCTGCATCTCCTCTAGAAGGGAGTGAGCATCTCAGGAGGTGACAATTCAAAGATACGTGAACCTGTGATAGGAAATGAAAATTGCCAGCAACTTTACTCACAGTTCAGAAATTATTTACACAGCACGTCCAATTTTCCCCTCTACTGGGTTTTATGGTTGTTTCTCATTTCACTCAGCGCTGCTGGAAATGTGTAAGAAATGAACAAAGTGAGAACCCATCATTTCTTAACCTGCTTAAAAACTGTCTGTGGGGACGTCAGAGAGGGGCCAGATGGCTGAAGCCAGTGTTTTGGCTGTTCTGAAGGCACGTATGGGGGTAAAGATCAGATCCTTACATCCTTCACCAGATCTTCATCTGCTATTGATCAGTACAGCTCCATTGTTTAAATGACATAGCTATATTTACACAGATGTTGACGTTAGGCATTATAATCATTAGGCTGTTTTAAGTCAAGCCATGAGCTGTTGGGGTTATTTGCTATACAGGAATGTGGGTCTTTGTTCCCCATACAATGGTTATAGGTTGAGGTATATACCATGAGGTGTGCTTTGACTATTGTGATTGCCATTTTAATTGGCCTCCAGCTGGAGATCTAGCCAAATATAACCCTCACAAATATTTTTATTGGGGTTAAAAGAACCTTCTACCATTATTATTATGAAGGAAAAGCCCAGGGAAAAATAAACAGTGCACTGAGTGGTGCCTGTAACTCATGTTCTGTTCCGTTCCTTTCCCTGCGTTTGGGCAAGGAGATGGGTAATGGTTTCACTTTCTGTTTCTTCTCATCCTGGTCACCTGCATCAACATAGCTGCTGCAGACAGTGGTAGAGGATGAGTGTTTGAATAAACTGCATTTTTCTTGAAGTTAGAAACCTGCGTAGGCATATTCAGCGTAGCTGGTTTAAAGTTATAGTGGTGTTCTGTTAGTCTAGGATCTAAGTAGGTTTCCCACTAGGGTTTAAAATCATGGATTGATGAGTAGCTAAGCCAACTGAGAGCAGGGAGGCCTGTGGGTGGGTGAGATGTAGGCTGCCCTATGAGTTGCTGAAACTCCTTCATCCAATACTGGAAGCATTTTTACTGCCATGAAAGGTGGCAGAGAGGCATATTTACCAGAGGTGCTGAGCAAACAGCCTGATCCTCTTCTTCCAGCAGTAACAAAGAGAGGGAACTCCAAGTAGGTCAGTGGAATAGCACCTGTGCAGAAGTAGTGCAGCTTGCACCAGCTGAACTGTGCCAAGGTTTTACAGCTGGGATTTCCCCAGTTGTATGTGGCAACTCACACGATGGAATTATTCATGAGTGCTTATGGCACAAATCTGCTCTTATCATAAAAATTGAATGGCAGAGCCTGCAAGAAACTGCAGGTCCGTGCGGACCCGGAATGGCTCTTTAGATATTGGTTGTTTTTATGTACTTTGTATGTGATATTTCAGACAATCCTGCCTAAGCAGCATACATAGATTTTATGATGACTCTGGGATAAGCTGAGTTTATGTTCCTAACAAAAAGGTTGCATCACAGTCTTTTCCATTTGCAATTTTAGGAACCACTTCCTTTCCCATGTATAATCACGTGGCAAGGCTGAGCTGTTGCAGCAATTGCTTACATGAGAAACAGTGCTATCATTAGCTTCCTCTAAGCTTCTACTAAGGCAGTTTGGGCAACAAGAAGTACCCGAAGTCCAGCCACTTCTTCAGTGGTCAAACTGCTGCTGCAATATCTCAACAAGATGCTTCAGGAGCATTTCTGTTGGAGTGCTTTGACATACTGACAACCCAGGTGAAAGTTATGCTGTCTGTAACCTCTTGAGGGCACAGTTATGTAGATAGATACAGTCTTTGCTGGTAGCAGTAAGTGCAGCGTTTCCAGCTGGTTTACTTTGGATGTTTGGAAGATAAAGAGATATGTAATGTAGCTAGAACAGATTGCAAGGATGCATCTTTCACCATAACTATTGAGGACACAACAGCAGGAAGCAAAGTTTAAGAAATCTATGGCAAATTAGAGTCTATAATTATTGATCTTCTTTTCATTGTATCTTGGCAAGTCAATTCTACTTAAGTGAGGAGATAGAAATTTGCAGCTCAGATATGACATACTAATTTGGTGAATAGTTTCACTCTGCAAATGCAGAACAATGATTTTAAGAGCACAGCAATAATCTGAAGAACATAATGAACTGAAAGGTTAGCCAGTTTTATGAGAGACAGCGGATTAAAAGATGCAAGTATTGCAAGGATGGTCAATTTAAAGAGTGTTATGCTGGCAAGGTGAAGCTTTTCATTAAAATGGTCAGTGCACAGGAATTATAGATGAAATTTCCACTTGCTCAGAACTCCCCTTGGCTCTGCAGGAGGGCTAAGACAAGCTCAGAGAGGTATGAATCCAGGGCAGCAGAGCACGCAGTGACCTGCTGACTTAGAGGCCCCTCTGAATCTGACTCTTTGGCCTTGATTTTGAGTGGCATATGAAAAATGAGCTCTTGCCATCATTGTGAGTAGCCGTGTGGCTTACACTGTCATCTTCAGTACTCATCACTTGCTGTGCGAGCAGTGCACACGTTTTGCCAATCCTTTCAGTAAAGAAAGAAGCAGTACTTTCTTTTCCAGTCCTCATTTCTCTATTCTGTTTCTCTTGTGTCTCATGGGAGCTATTAAAATTGGTGAAACTAAGGTCCTTTAATTGCTGGTTAGAAAACATGGAGAGCTCTTGAAGTGGGCAGTGGTAAAAGGAGCATTTAGTTAGAGAAGAAGGGGATGAAGATTCTGGCAGCTTCTGATTTCACCTCAGGAAAAAGATGGGGCCTTCTGGAAAAAGTATCATACAAACTGCCCCAGGATTCTTATCCAAGTGTCCTGTGCCAATAGTGACAGTAACAGTTTCCGTCACCTATCACCTGCTCAGGACTGCTGTGTATGAAGAAGGGCTGATTAATGTAGCATTTGCCATCAGGATGAACACTGAAGGTGTGGCAATGTGTTGTCTTGTGAAGAACTCTCAGAAAAACTCTCGAGATTTTAAAGAGAAAAAGCCAAAGGAGGTGTGCAAGTAAGCATATTAATGGCTGGATGTGACTTTGCAAGTGAGATAGTCAAGGTCTAAGATGTAGAGGGTAGAAAAGGGAAGAGAACTAAACCCATAGCACTGTGAGACTGTGTAGAGAAGCTATTCCTCAAAGGAAGTGCTTGAGGAAACAGCTGAAGAAATAGGAGGGCCTCTTGGAAAAGACGGAGTCTGTGAGCCTAAAGGACAAGAAATGTGGCTTGCAGCCAAAGGCAAGGAGAATGAAGGCAGCCTTGGGTCTGAGATTAGCTCAGGAAAAGTCATTAGGGGCTTTGGTGAAGGTAACTGCAGATGACTACCAAGGCTAGAAACCGTCAAGGGAAGGAAATGAACTGCGGGCAGTGACCAGTAACCATTATTTTGTCTGACAGCTGCAATGAGACTTTCTGCTTTCTGCATGGAAGGCTAAGGTCAGGATCATTTTCTGCCTATGGGGAGAGAGCGTAACTGGGAAAAAATAACAGGGAGAAAATGAGCCTTGGTGGGAGCAGGAAAGATGGCCAAGAGACTTCCAAGAAGGAAATGATTACCCCAAACCCATGTGCGGAGAGTCCAGGGAGGGGTGTCTGTTTCT